ATATATATATATATATATATATATATATATGGATTGACTCCAGTCAGATGACACTTTCGGTCAGATAACAACGAATGCTCATTCTGAATCAATGTAGCGCTCATTCTTAAACAACGTAGAATTCATTCTCAGCGAGACGACAACATAGGGTTCATTTTGAATCCACGTAGTGTTCATTCTAAGACATCGTAGGGTTGACTTTCACACATTTGTTCATTATAAACGTAGTACTCATTCTGAAACAACCTAGTACTCATTCACAGTCTGCTAAGTGTAGTGTTCATTCTGAAATAAGGCGGTGCTCATTCTCAAACAAGGTGGTGCTCATTCTGAAGCATGTCATCTGACCGAAAGTGCCATCTGATCGAAAGATGTCATCTGAGTGGAGTCAATCCCATATATATATATATATATATATATATATATATATATATATATATATATATATATATATATATATATATAATTGCAAGAAAAGAAAAATCGACTGAAAAAAAGGGAAGTTGAATGAAATCAGAGTGATAAAGATCATTCCCAGATTATAAAACCCGGGTGTTGATCGAGAGAGAGATTTCTAGGCATTATTTTCTTCGGTCTTTTCCCATCAGTTCCAATTGGTCCAACGGGCTCAACATACCAAAAAGGTCCAGAATAACTTTTTGTGGTAACTATTTTCTCCATAGTAGTATATTTATGACTGGGCCAGTATCTCGCGATCTCGCTAACAATCCCGACTTCGAGATTAGGATCATAGCTTCTGGTTTTGATGGTCCTTAGAAAAGGTTGCTTCTTTTTACTTCTTCTATTATGGACTTCTTGGAATTCATGAGTTGTGAGGTTTTCATCATTGTGGTTTGACGTTTGTCCTTCCTCAATGCAAGACCTAATTTCATAATGTTGACCTTCATGATCAAAAGAATGGAGGATCGGTCCAAAGTTGGCAGGGTTGACATCTGAGTTGTTAGGTGTTGTGTTTTCCATTGTTGTATTTTCCGCCATCAGAGTTTGAGTCCCTGTTGTGTCATCCTTTTCTATCTCAATTGGAGTGAGTAGAGCTGCCTCCATATTCTCGATTGGAGTCTGTACATCCTCCTGCAAATTCCTTGTAAGTACCGGAAATTCATCCAGGTTGATTGCATTTCCTACACAGTTAGCCTTTTGTGCAGTCATACCATCCATGCTATCCTCAATTGATTGTTCAAGTGTATGATCCAAATCTGCTTCCTTAGTCATGATTTCCGTTTCATGTTGTACTGCCAGAGAACTCTCTTCGGGAACAGGGGTTGGGTGCTCATCCTTGGTGTCTTTAGTAGCGTTGAAGTCAAGGCAGTTTGTAATACCTTCAGTTTCTACTTGCTCATCTACCTGTCTTAAGCCAGCCACATCTTCAGATGGGTACTGCCTACAAGCAGTAACATGAGGTGTATGAGAAGTGGAAGTGTCCATTGGTGCAGGGGTGACCATTGGTGTATTGTTATCCTTTGGAAGTGCCATCATGGGGACGGATGTTTGTTGTTTATCATATATACATATATACGATATATATATATATATATATATATATATATATATATATATATATATATATATATATATATATATATATATATATCGTATATATATATATATATATATATACACGATAGTGTAACAAATATACGGAGTAAAAGAGAGAAAAGGGTTAAATTTAAAATAATGCAATGCATACATATTAATGGTGATTGGTAATTGCAAGCTGAAAAGAAATTAGTACTTGTGCATATTGTGTGTACACGAGATGTAGTGAACACAACTCAAAATTATTGGAATGTATGTTTAGAGTCAGTGTTTAAAATTGAGAGTTTGTTTTTTAGTTGTCAAGAAATTGGTCAGAAAAGTACTGATAAGTAATATAACATCCTCACTACTATTAGTGTTAAAGAATAATGATGGAGAGTTTGAAGTGAGAAGTTATTAATGTTAAGCACGTCTTTGGATTGAAAGAAGTTGTATTCAAAAAATTAATGGATTCATTTAAGGGTCTATTTGGTACATGGAATTGATGGAATTGGAATTGAATTGAAAATAAAATTCCATGGGATTCAATTCCATAGAATTGAATTCACCCATTCCAATTCATTTTTTGCATTACCAATTTCAAATCCACATAATTTTTGTGCTACCAAACACGAGAATTGGAATTTTCAATTCCAATTTCATAGTTTGAATTCCGTGTATCAAACGGGGCCTAAAAGTTCCTCAAAAATGATGTTAGAAATTGTCGTAGCATGGGTTGTACGCATGGTTTTTTTTTAATTTTTTATTTAGTGATGGTGTTGGGAAGAAATAACATGCATTTAAATTATTTTAAAAATAGTTGTAATTTAATAAAACAATAAGAGTTTGATTTTTGGTTTCAAAATGGATATAAGCCTAGGATATGAGTGTGCTCAAATGTAGTTAAGTGTACCTTGGTTTCACGTACTCCTACTGGTACATAAGTGTACAGGTTGTAATACAACCAAAGTGAATATGATGTTCTTGGTATAAGAAATAGTGGATAGATGATGAAATATGTGCAGGTTGTAATACAACCAAAGTGAATATGATGTTCTTAGTATGAGAAATAATGGATAGATGATGAAAGAAAATGGAGAAGTGAAACAATTATAAAACAGAGAAATGGAGGAAAATTTAAAAGAAGTGAATCCATAGATATTAATGATTAGTGAAAATCCCATTCTGATATTCAATTTGAACTTGTGCATGTTAGTGTACATGGGACAAAATTATCAAGAGTTTAAATTTTTTCATTGTACATTTTGTTCCTCTTTCTGTTTAAGAAACTGCACTTGACGTGGCCTTCAAGTTTTTATATTACTACATCAGCAACATTGGAAATCTGGTTTGGCCATTAGTAAAGGATTGGTGTTTGACTCCGAACATCATGTTTTTATTTTCCTGCAACATCAACATTGCAATAATAATTTCACAACATGACATTTGGAGATGTGCCTAATGCTAGAAAAGCTGAGGTATAAATTATGCAATTGGATTAAATTATAGTTTTTGTAGTTGGGTTTAGAGTTTTTAAGTTTTGAAAGTAAAGATTTGTCAAAAAACACAAAGACCTTAAAGGTAAGGATCGTTTAGAATGGGACATGTAACTGACCACCGCTACTGCCCCTAGAATTTGAAAATCTGTGGATTGGTATATGTAAATTGAACACGCTTAAGTTATTATTTGTGAATGGCATTATTTAAAAATCATAAATATGATGAAAAGAGGTTATTTTATTAGTGTGGATGGGAAAAAGTTTAGAAATGATAATGTTTCATTGGGATGGACTAATTATTTCTAAACAGATACGGGTGAACCACTATTAGTGTTTGGAATTGTTTAAAATACATATTGTTGAAAGATTTAAAAATAGTAAAAGGGATTTAGACGTAAGCAACATACCAACCAATTAACTTACCTACCTTTCCTTTTTTTCATGGTGGGAAGTCTTTGATGTTGTACCTGGAATTGTTCATTTTCCAACATCTTGTCCATTAGTAACATGATAAGCAATTTGGCGCATTTAGGAGGTAGTGATGAACCCGAATTACTCTTCATTTATTTAGTAGTCCACTTTAAAAAAAAAGGTCTCATTTTTTGAAGGGAGAGAAATACTGCTACGCATTCAACATTGTCCAATGGAGTGTCACTGCGAAGCTTATATTTTGGACCACCAGGCCTAAAAGAATCAGCAGCTGTGCATTGACCTATTCGAAATGCCACAATATGTAAATAAGTATTAAAAGAATGTATATATGACTTTAAGTCACTTCAAGATTCAAGACCAACAATTGTTAGTGGTGTTTGACATGGGAAATATAGGTGGTTTAGTGGTGTGCGATTGTTGTGTGGGCTTGAGCATGTATTTGTATATGTAACAAATAGTAAAGTTAAGATTAGATTGCAGCAGATCATAGGAACCAATCTTTTGTTAGGGACATATCCATCAAAAAGAGGAAACCCAATAGCTATACATGGTGGAAGAAGCCGTGATAGTAATGAAGACACACCTCTTCATTGAAGACACCACCAAGAGCGGAGAAACCAAGAAGCACGTGAGGGTTGATGTTTTACCCTCTGCAGCATTTTATACTCTGTGTTATTTTTGAAATCATAAAAGTATGTATTTTCAAAGGATATGAAAAACGAAATTGTAGTTTCAAAACAGCCCCAACATAATCCACTAAATTACCACTTTGATAAGACTTGAACCCTCCTGAACATCACTTGCATCGCCGTGATAAGACTTGTCAGTGGTCCTGACATTCTTGATAAACCTTGCATCACCGTGATAAGAGCGCCAAGCCTGGTTGTAAAATAAAACAAAATCATACGTCAAGGATATTTTTTTAAGTGAAGAAAACATTAAAAGCACAGTATGCGTTTACCTGCGTGGTCCTACACTCCTACCATAACTATGTATTTGTTGGCCAAATCAGTGAAAGGGCGTCTTTGGTCCCTGACAGTTCTTAAAAATGAATAGGAATGAGTAAGGAAATACTGAGGGAACATTTTGTGGTTAATAGAGTAAGACATGAATACAAACCATACATATGTGACGTAATATGCCATCTTGAAAAAAATGTGGAGGGAAAAGAAGTTAGTATTGCCTTTGATATGTGTAGTCCTACTTTGGGCCCCTTTTTTGCCGTGTTCTTCTGCCACTTCTGCAGCAACAGTTGGTAGAAGAACTGGTATTTCAATTGCTGCTGTTATGTCTGCAATGCTACGACAATTCATTACATTTAAGAAATTTAGTTTGGGCGTCATAAGTATGTTGACCTTTTTTGGGTTAAATGGAATATATGTTAGTCCATACCACTGGCCAGCATCTTCCAACATTGTCACGAATTATTTGGCCACCATAAAGGAGAGCTTCCAAACCAATCCTAAAATGAATAGCTATAATTCTGGGTTGTATTTATGTTTGATAAAATGATATTAAGAGCTGCAACATACCCCAGAAGCAGGTATAAATTATTGGCTTGTTTTACATAACCTGTTTTCTCATTGACGCGTATAGAAGTCTTCTTTTGACTTCCTGATCTGATATATTAGAAGGTAGGCTGCAACAATGGAGAAGTAAACAAGGGGCAAGTTAAAAATAGTATGTTTATTAGTCAAAAACCAAGTTATGATACATATTTCATTTATTTGGAAGACATTGGAAATAAGAATTTATTTAATTTAGTTTCTTTTCTGGAAACTTGTTTATGTTGGCCTATTTTTTGGGACAAAGGGAATAGCCATAAAGGAGAGTTTCCAAACCAATCCTAAAATCCACTACAAAAAATTTGGATTCTATTTTAGTTTGATTAGTTGTTATTAAGAGCAGCAGCATACCCTAGAAACAGGTACATGTTATTCGCTTGATTTACATAACCTGTTTTCAATGGTGTAACATTGGAAATAAGAATTTATTTAATTTAGTTTTTTTTCTGGAAAATTGTTTATGTTGGCCTATTTTTTGGGACAAAGGGAATAGCCATAAAGGAGAGTTTCCAAACCAATCCTAATATCCACTACAAAAAATTTGGATTCTATTTTAGTTTGATTAGTTGTTATTAAGAGCAGCAGCATACCCTAGAAACAGGTACATGTTATTCGCTTGATTTACATAACCTGTTTTCAATGGTGTTGCCATTAAAAAAATTACAGCAGTTACTACGAGAAGAAAATCAAATATCACATAAGAGAGCTTAATAAAGTTAGAAACACTCATTCTAAGTTAAATATTGTCGATGGGAGTGTCTGAGCCACACATATGTTACGAAATATGCCACGAGAAAAACATTGTGGAGGGACAAAAAAGTTATTATTACCTTTGACATGTGTTATAGTATTTTTGGTTCCCTTCAGCGTGTTTTTATGTCCCTTTTTCAGCAACAGCTGGCCGAAGAACTGTAGCTCAAACTTCTGCTGTTATATCTCGAATGCTTTGACAGAACATTTCATGTAATAATTTAGTTTAGGCATCATAAGTTTGTAGTGTTTTAAGCAGACTCTGGGAGAGATGAAAAATGAAGGATGAGATCATTACTTGTTAATTGACGCGTTTAGAAGTCTTTTTTTGACTTCCTGATATATATTAGAAGGTAGGCTGCATCAATGGAGAAGTAAACAAGGGGCAAGTTAAAAATAGTACGTTTCTAAGTCAAAAACCAAGTTATGTTACATATTTATTTATTTGGAAGAAATTGGAAATAAGAATTTATTTAATTTAGTTTTTTTCTCAAAAAATCATTATGTTGGCCTTTTTTTTGGGACAAAGGGAATAGCCATAAAGGAGAGTTTCCAAACCAATCCTAAAATCCACAACAAAAAATTTGGATTCAATTTAACTATGATAAGTTGTTAATAAGAGCAGCAACATACCCTAGAAACAGGTACATGTTATTGGCTTGATTTACATAACCTGTTTTCCCATGGCGTCGCAATAAAATAAAATTACAGCAGTTACTTCAAGAAGAAAATCAAATATCACATGAGAGAGCTTAATAAAGTGAGAAATACTCATTCTAAGTTAAACATTGTTGATGGGACTGTCTGAAACACTCATTTGTTATGAAATCTGCACTGAAGGTGAGTGTACCAATTATAGTTGCACCAGTGGGTGAAGAGGAGGAGAAGATGGAGACTGTAAATGGGAATGACTTTTTTGAACCTGGTTCACCACCACCATTTAAGTTGTCTGATATTAGGACAGCCATACCCAAGCATTGTTGGGTTAAGGACCCTTTGAAGTCAATGAGCTATGTGGTTAGGGATGTGGCGGTTGTGTTTGGCTTGGCAGCTGTGGCTTTTTTTATCAATAGCTGGCTTCTTT